TATTACGCAGCCATAAAGAAGGACAACATTATGAACTTCACAGCAACGTGGATGGACTTAGAATCTATAATACTGAGTGACCTATCACAGAAACAAAGAACTGAGTATCACATGTTCTCACTCAAAAGTGGACCTAGAAAAACTATCATAATATTGTAAGAAAAGAGCCGGGCTCGGTGGCTCAGCCTGTAATCCCGCGCCTTTGGGAGGCTGAGGTAAGTGGATTGCCTGAGCCCGCAGGTTCAAAACCCGCCTGGGCAGGCGAGACCTCATCTCTACAATAAATCAAGAAATCAGTCGGGCATGGTAGCACGCGCCTGTAATTCCGGCTACTCGAAGGCTGAGGCGGAAGGATCACCGGAGCCCAGTAAGTTGAGGCTGCGGTGGCCGGGAGCGGCCACTGCACTCCAGTCTGGGCGACAAAGTGAGACTCCAAATCAAAAAAAAAAAAAAAATTGTAAGAAAAGGATTGGTAGTAGTGGGAAACTGCCAGGGCAGGGCTGGGGTGGGATTGGCAGTAGTGAGAATCTGAGCAGGGAGGGAGGGGGCACACCTCATCAACAAGGGTACCTGTTAATGAGCATTTGTATACCTAACCCTGAATTGTACCCTATATCTTTAAAATTTAAAAATATGTATAAAAATAATTTTTAAATTTTTAAAAAAATATCTCTGCAGAATACCACTTCTTGGACAGTGCCTGACACAGAGTAGGCATTTCATAAATATGTGTGAAATGGATCAATGAATTATGTATTTTACTTTCCAAATAAATTCTTAATGCTTAAAAAAAAAAGGAATTACAGTTTCAAAGTCATCATTCCAACTCCAAGGATCCATATTCTATGATCCATTAGTTTTGCTTTCCATAGACTTGATAAAAAATTATTTCTGCCCTGGAAATATCAAAAATGCCTAACTTTATCTGGGCTCCACATCAGGAGAACTATCTGATATGTAATAAATTAGAGGATTATCCATTTTCTCCAAAGCATAAACAGAGGTATTTGAATTCACTAAGCAGCCCCTAAAAGATCTGTTAATAATAAGGTATTTTAATAATCATTTAAAATTATTACCCTAATTTTTATATGGTAAAAAGTGACTCATCAAAACTATAAAAACAGTTCACAAAACAATTCATCATATGTTTTCAACATCGTTTCTATGACCTTAAGATATCTCTTCAAAAGTTTAGTTAGGATTTACCAAGGTAAAATAATGTTAAAATTTATATTCAAAGAAAAAAGACAAATTATTTTTAACTGTACTTATAAATTTTGAGTAAGTACAAATAAAATAAGCATAGGAACTTTCACAGTACTATCTTAATCATGTCTTTTCCATTTTCTTTTTTTGAGTTGGGGTCTCACTCTGTCACCCAGGCTGAAGTGCAGTGGCATGATCATAGCTCACCTTGGCCTCAAACTTCCTGGGCTCAAGTGATTCTCCCACCTTAGCCTCCTGGCTAGCTGGGAGTGTGTGTGCGCCAACATGCTCGGCTAATTTATTTTATTTTTATTTTTTTTTTAGTAGAGGTGGAGTCTCACTATATTGCCCAGGCTGGTCTCAAACTTCTGGGTTCAAGTAATCCTCCTACCTCTGTCTACCAAAGTGCTGGGATTATAGGCCTGAGCCACCACACCCAGCCTCCTTTTTCCTATTTCTAATGAAAAAATTCTGTTTTTCAATTTGTGCAAACCACAGGTTTTCATTTGCTTCCATTATAATACATTCTGATGTGTTTGTGCGTGATTGTTACAAGAGTTTAAACTCTCTTGTCTTTATTTCTATTAAAACTTGCAAATTGAAAAAAAATTACTAATTCAAAAGTCAGTATTCAAACTAGAAGAAAAATTTTGAATGTAACTACCTAATACGACCCATAGCCAGTTGCCATGGCTTAATCTTGCTGACCATGCTGGCTAGTAGGTTCAAGGACTCAACAGTTAAAAAGGGGGGAAAAAGTCAAACTTGCTCAAGAGTGAATCTTCAGAGAAGTGAAGAACACTTGGTTTGGTAAAGAAAATAAGCAGCATGGATTCCAGTATTTAAAAGAAAAATTTTCATATAAGACAAAGGGTATCTGCAAAGAAACAGCAATAGCATTTAGTTCAGGCCTTCTATTCAAATTGTCTCTGTATTCACCATTTGCTTTTGAAAGAGAAGTTAGGTTTCATTTTTAATCATCTTGTTTTCTCCTTTATTCGGTTTTGTTTTCAAGTGGGAAAATGTTTCTTTTTTGTGATAGAAAAAAATATTTGAAGCATCCTTTAAATGCTATATTTTACTGAAAAAGCATTTTCAAATTAACCCAACAATAATCTTTCTCCTTAATGTGATCATATCTATGACTTGTCAAAATCCATATTTGAAAATATAGTCGACCCATTCCCTTTCCCCAAAAAATGAAAGTCTGAATATCAAAAACTGTTTTGTGTCAGACATGAATATAGGCTTTATTGAAGGAGTGTTTTTCAGCATTTGAAAAATTCTTCAAATGGTCTCATACTGATAAGATAAATGCTTACAAGATATGCTGTGATGTAGCTCAGGAGAGAATGAACTATAAATACAGGTCTTTTTGCTTCCTCTTATTTTTTAAAATTTGAATTCTTCTTACAAAGAATTTGATATTTCTAAAAGAAATGTAACTCTGACATTGAATATCTATCATTAAATAATTTATACTGCTAGTTCAAGTGCTGATTAGCTTAAATTTTTAAAAATTTAAACAACGGGAAAACCACAGGTTTTTAAAGCAATTAAACATCTATTAGAAAACTTGGAAAAAGTTACCCCTTTCTTCTCAAGTTGAACATCCTAATGAAAATTTTAAGATCATGTTCTATAGTTTCCTGAAGAAGACATCAACTTCATATAGTCAAGCTATAACTATAAAACCATAGGTAATCAGTAGATACTAATAACATTTCATTAAAATGCTCTGAACTTCTTTGGTTGCTATTTATCTGAATTTCCCAGTCCCATAGGAAAACATCAATTAAGATAGTCAATCAAAACAAACTATATTGGACTAAGAAGTAAAATCTATTAGAAATAAACAATAAGTAATAGAGAGGTAGTAAAAACCTTAATAATAATTAACTGATGTGGGAATATCTCAGGGAACGTCTTCTATTCCTGCTTTATGAACAGGAGAAACAGAGAGAAATAAATGATCATGTTATTTGACACCTACTGAGTTCTCAGAGAGGGATCCAGAGAAAAATGTAGGAAGCCACAGGCTAAAAATCCTGACCTTAGCAGTAGGAGATACACTGAAAATTCTAATAAGGGCAGAACAAGGGAACACCTGGACAGTTATTTAATTAAGGATCTCAGCATGAATCATAAAAGAGTTATCAGGATGAGAAATTATTCCAAGATTTAAGTGTAAAGACTGACTGTCAAAAATCCAAAGACATTCTGTCTCATCTATATTTGGACTTCTTATGTTAAAACATGGATGCTTGAGTATAGTACATAGAATCAGGACCAAAAAAATCCTCCAAATTGGCTAAAGATAGCTGGATAAAATGCCAAATTAGGCAAAGATAATTCTTCACACACCAAATCAGTATTTTAAATATAGTAACGACTACCTGTAACACTAAATAAAAGTAACAAAATGAAGCAATAATCTAAGTTAAATCATTGGTATTCACTAATGAGGGAGATTAGTGTAAGTTATAACTTTATGCTACTATTTTTAAAAGAGATACATAGCAGGGCAAGATATTAACCTCAAGAAGAGTAATAATGTAATTCAGAATATACTGGCCCAACTAGTTTGAATCACAGATTCAAGCAGGTTAGAAAGTATCTATAGACACCAAGAGAAACAAGTCTTTGGCGGGGTAAAAATAACTCTCGGATCAGTATTTGTCACCAGACAACCAGTTCCTCATTCTAGAGCTTTCCAGAGGTCAAGCATGCATGTCCCTATTCAGAAATGGAGTCTACTTTCCCTACCTGTTAGCTTAATTAACCATCAACTATCTAAAAGAATGACAGAAATCAGACCATCAGCTCTCTTTCTCAGACCACTGTAATTATAATCTATACATTTTTACACTGCCACTAGGAAAAGGAACTTTCTAAATTGTGTCATAATTATTCAGGAACAAGTTTTTCTTCCTTTCTAGACTGTAAACTCTTTGAAGACAGACTATCATTCATGAATCTTTCTATTCCCTTCAGTGATCTAGAGGAATGCAATTAATATTTTTTTAGGAACAAATTAATTATTATTATTATTTTTGAGTTGGAGTCTCACTCTGTCGCCCAGACTGGAGTGCAGTGGCCGCTCCCGGCCACCGCAGCCTCGACCTGCTGGGCTCCGGCGATCCTTCCGCCTCAGCCTTCCAAGTAGCTGGAACTGCAGGCGCGCACTACCACACCCGGCTAATTTTTTGATTTATTGTAGAGATGAGGGCTCACCAAGTTGCCCAGGCGGGTCTCGAACCCTCAGGCTCAGGCAATCCACTCACCTTAGCCTCCCAAAGCGCGGGATTACAGGCTGAGCCACCGAGCCTGGCTACAAATTAATTATTAACAGTCTTTTCCTAGATTCTTCTCATAATTGGCCCAATCAGTTCTAACATGTAAATAAAAGTAAATTTCTCTCCATGATACCATCAAATGGCAAAATATAAAGAAGAAAATGGTTTATGGCAATAAAAAATACTAAATTGGAAACCATTCCAAGGTCCGCTACCTTGGAAACCATTAGGTTTCCACTAGACTGGGTTAGGCAAATAGCAGAAGAAAACAAAAATAAGGTTTTTTTCTGCTTATGTATCACATTAGAGAAAAATGCTTAGACCACCACCTAGTCCATATTTCTATCAACTTATACAATTGTGCCCAACATCCTTGAATAACAGCCTTATTGGTGCTATTTATAAGACAGTGGTGCATTTGTGGCATTTTAAGTTCCATTTCCAAGGAGGAAAGTATCTAAGTATAATCAGATGAGAGTAATAAAATACACTGACCTGGATCTGTTGCTGCAGGAGATTAATTTTGTGCTGCTGTTGCAGAAGTTGCTGTTGTTGTCTTGCAATCTATCAGAAATAAAGTTTCATTAAGTTAAAATGAAATGCTTATACCTTTGCCATTACCTCTGGCATTACAAGAATGTTTTGCTGCACTCCTATGTGAAGTAGTAGTCCTATAAAGTGAGAGAGGCACAATCGGAAAGCTTAAGAAAAGGAAATATTTTTAAACAGGTGCCATCTCTCCACTTAATCTGTGGGAAAACTACCCATTCTATTGTACTTATATGCAATTCACCTATATCCACCCTGATCAGTTGGAAATCATGGAAATTTGAAAATCTCATCCTTGTAGAATAAAGACAGAACAACTCTGGCTACATTTTTCTAAAGAGCTTAATTTGGACGTAGAAAGAAAAATCTGTAAGCAAAAACAGGAAAAGCTTTATACCACTGTATAATATAGTCTACTTTGGTGAAACCTTTTCTTATGCAAAGATTTTCAGAAAAATCGTCAAAGGAACACCAAAAAGCACAGCAAAAAGTCAAAAATCTTCTGGGTTTTTTTTTATGTTGTATGCAATGTACAGCACATTTTTAAAAACAAAATAAGCTATAATTTAACTTTTACCCATTTATACTTTTGAGGGCAATTTGTTTTTTTATAAGACAGAATCTACATGTAAGTTTTATATTTCCTTGCTTTATCCAACAATCAAATTCAACATCTAAACACATTATCTGGTCTATTAAAATAAATATTAACCATTTAAAGTAAGCTCTGGTGATGACTGAATCTGCCCCTCAGGAGGTCAAACAACTTCCTTAGGATAATGGTGTTTACTATGAAGCATGAGTAAGGGATCAGGATGCTTACTGCCTCAAAAGCTGAGTGGCTACAGCTCAAAGTCCAGGGAGATGCTCCTTCTTGAGAACACACTCACTGCCAATCCAGGCAACCAGAGAGACAGTGGCCAGAGAGCACTTAGAAGGATTGGATTTAGTGGTGCCTTATTGGCAAGAGTTAGTCTTTTCTTCCTGTTCATTCCTATTTCCCAAAGCTAGTATTCTAGAATGGGATATGTTGGAAGTGAAAACGAGTGTGAATCAGTCCCCAGCTGTAGACTTCCTGAGCCTTTTTCATGCTTTAACCTGAAATGTCCAGATCACGTTTCATTCCGCATAAGATGACGACATAGTAGCCTGCTCCCAAATGTTGTTTTACGATTTCTGGTAATAACTAGTTCATACTGGAAGGCATGGTAAAGCTGCCCCTAATGTAGACTACAGTTTGAGAAATGGGACTTCTCCTTTCCAAAGCTTTGTAGACATGGAAACAGTATTTAATCAGATCGGAATGGTCTACTCTGCTTGTCAACATTTAAATCAGAAATGTACAACTCACTCTGTAGTTCTAGGTATAGATGCTGGATCCTCTGAATATTTATTTTCTCTTAGCTAACCAGTGAAACACCACTAGGCATATAATATTGATGGTCCCTCCTAAATGATAAAGTGCTGCATAGAAATGCATCCAAAACACCACAGTGCAATTACTATCATCCACTCTAGACGTATGTGTTTGACACAGTGAAGTATGGTACATAAGCACCATGTGGCTCAAATTCTGAATTTTATTTGCCAATCGGTTGAGCTACATGCTCGCTTCATTGAGCATGACAACCTAGTTTTAAGTGTCATTTAATTTTCATTTTGAAATATAATTACAAAGTGTTCACTGTAAGATATCACTCGTCTGCAAATGTGTCAAGATTAATTTGTGCTAGCTTATTCACAAGTGTCAATAGTTAATTACTGTGTCATCTCTGGATGGCTAAATGACATTCTAACTTCTGATTTTTTACAGTGTTCCTTTATGTTATTTTCCATTAGGGGCTGAGTCCATATTCCTACATGTGGGCAAATATTCAAGCATATAAAATACCAAACGTCACAACTCATTAAAATCAACAGAGCATATATTGCTCTATATACCCCTATAAAATACATTTAACTGAAAAGATAATTCCAGTAATAATGTCAGATTCCTAAAAACTGCACATTAATTTGGGTCTGTCTGATCTAAAGCATCAGGGGTTTCTCTATAGGATCACTGTTGTTAGATTAATGTACTCTTACGAGAAAAAAAATTGGGAAAGTGATTTATTTTTTAAAAATATACATTTAAGCTTTGCTATTTTTTTCTTCATTCTCACTTCTAAGTCAATCAATTCAAATTCTTTCAGAAACTATGTGCTAATTTGTTTTCAATGTTACCTATGCTATAAATAGTGACCATGTAATTTATCTTCCAAACCGAGACAACTTTTGCAAGTGGAAGGGGGTGGGGTATCATAACCCTGGAAGACAGGCACTAGCCGGGACTATTTGCGGAAAATCAAGATGTATGTTCACCCTTGCTTTAAAGTCAGAGAAAATCATTGGACCTGTGAGCTTAAAGACCCCCCAAAATTTTTCTATAACCCTCTTTCTGGATGAGGAAAGGAGGGCCTGGAGAGAAGACAGTTACTCATACTTAAACTGCATTGGGGTTACATGTGATGCCTATGTGAATAAGTATCCCTGCGTAATTAGTCAAATCTAAATCGTATAAATCAATGTATCATTCCAGTTATGCCAAGTCACTATGGTGCCTTTCTTTGTCACCCCCATAGTCCCTCAGTATTCTTGAAGACTCTGGATTTCCAAAAGGCTTCTTTCATTCCTCTTTCCCTTCTTCTTTTTTATCTTTTTTTTTGTTTTTTAGAAAAGCTTACAACAAATAAGCCAATCAATGTGATTACTCGCTGAGCTTGGCACATTCCACACCTCCAGTTCCTCAGCTTTTTGTGCAGGGCTCACCTGTTCTTGCTGTTGGCGAGCAAGGTCCATTTGCTGCCGTTGTTTCTCAATTTGTGAGGCTGCCAGTTTTTTTTGTTCATCATGTGCTGCCAGAAGCTGCTCCCGTAAACTGATCAGCTGGGTAATCATGGTGGAGAGCTGCCGTTCTTTTTCTGCCAGGCTCTCAGGTGTACCTAAAATGGAAGCAAGAAGAGATCTCACAAGCTTGAGGAATATCTGAATGAATCAGGGAGAGGAGAGCAGAATTTAGAAAGGGACTACCCTATGAAACTGAAAGATCTGGGACAATGACTAAAGGCCATTGCGAGTGCAGGAACACTATGGAGTAGTTATAGCAGTGGAATGAATATAAGCATTTACCATTGTCCCCACCAAGAAAAAGTATTGCCACCAGTAAAATTCTCACTTCTCCCTCTTGCTTAAAAGAAAAAAGCAGATCTACCCCATTCTCTCCTTTTCACCACACTTCCCCCCACTAAGTTTATCTGATCAAACTAGGATATCTGTGATATTTAAAGATATTGATGTTATCTAAGTATCAGAAACTATGAATTATACTAATGTTCTATAACCTCCTCTAGCCTCAGCAATTAACAGTACCTATGACATAGTAGGTGCTTAATAAATGTCATGTAAGGAATTTGCTGATCATTGCACAACTGTCTATTGTGCAAAGATCTGTCACGGAAGTTCAGAAGTCAAGGGTCAATCTCTTCACCGTGGGACAAATTCTACAGAGAGAACAAAAACTGCCTCAGGTAAAAAATAAAAACAATAAAACCATTGAATATGTTTTGTTTGTTTATCTTGTTTTGTTTTTCCTGTGAAAAAATCAAGCCAAAATGCTCGAGTTCATCCTTACAGACAACAATGTTGCCTGGGGAGCACCCTTACTTCTGTGTCATTTGTCATTCGTCCTTCTTCAAAGGGAAAAAAAACACATTCAAGGTTGAAAAGGTTATGCATAAGGATATGCTGTTTAATGAATATGATGTCGCTGAACACTTATGGTATGCACTAATGGTGCCGAACAATCTTTTTATGGGTAAATTACACAGCTCTCCTAAGTAAACGGTACAGAATCCTTTTGTGAATCTAAATTAGAGCATTTTGCCACAGCATAAGATAAGAATTTCAATCTACTGTATCTGAGCTACACAGATTTTATTATGAAGAAATGATCTATGATTTGAAAGCTTTTCAGAAAGATGTCACCAGCTATCAAAGGGGACAAAGATTGCCCATTTTTTTGTATATAGAAGGGAGACTACCAACCTCCTTATGAAACCTCCCTACTATCTGCTAAGAAAGCACCAGGACAATCTGAGAAACTAAAAATATTTTAATTATGAGTGGCCTTATTTTTTAAGTGACCCCAAGGAAAAAGAAAACCTTCAGAGGATGCTGGCTAGTGCTTGCTAGTATATGATTTCTACAAGGTGAGACTGATATCAGCAGAGAAGCTACCACATTTAGGACCACCTTGGGATTCTTAATGTCAACTCAGGTCCTAAAAAAGAAAAGAACTGTCAGTCTCCTTCAGCTCCTTCGGAGTCACTGAGCTGAAAGATGGCCTAAAACCAAAATTTAAGGAAAAATAAGATTGTTATAAAGCGTATTTCACTGATAAGAAAACAAATACTGTATCGAGGCTGGTGACCTGCTATGCTTTCTAACTCCTAGAATTGATTACAAGAAAATGTATTTTTATTTCACAAACAGGAGTTTCAACTTGGTAAAAGGGAGAACATCTTGATCCAGAAACATTAAAATACAAAAGTAGGTTCCCAAACAGGATCATAAAACATCTTGAAAAGCAGAAGAAAAAAAAACCCCAACTAATATATGTTAATAGATACAGGAATAAGAAAATACAAAAACAAAAAGTATATAATTTATTTCCTAAGTTTGTAATTCAATATTTCCTGAATATTTTAATTAAACATTTCCTGAATGGAATGGCAACTATGTTACAAGTACTATGTCAAGAACTAAGGATACTGTGACAAAGTAAAAGCAGACATGGTGGCTCATGCCTGTAATCCCAGAACTTTGGGAGGTAGAGGTGAGAGGATTACTTGACCACCAGGGTTTGAGACCAGCCCGGGCAACTTGGCGAGACCTCATCTCTACAATAAATCAGAATAATTAGATAGGGGTGGTGGCATGCACCTGTAGTCCCAACTACTCGGGAGGCTGAAATAGAAGGACCACCTGAGCCCAGCAGGTCGAGGCTGCGGTGGCCATGTATATGCATTGCATTTAGCCTGGGCAACAGAGTAAGACTCCAACTCAAAACAAAATAAATTAATAAAATAAATTTAAAAAGCAGATACAGTCCCCCATGTTTAGGTAGTTTATAGTCCAAAGTTGGAGGAAACACCCGAATCAAGTAATCACACATATAAAAGTAAACTACAAATAACTAAATATTATAAACAAAACTAATATTTTGTGGGAGGTTTAACCAAGTCTGAGGGCCTAAGTCCTGGGAAGGTAGTCTGAAAAAGTAACAAATTAATAAAAGGATGAATAGGCGTTCTCTAGGCAAAGAGTTGGAGGGTGGTTTGATTAAGGAGCTTTCCAGAAAACATGAAACTTTGCAACAGCAAAGGAACTACAGTTGAGAAAAGAGTTGTTAGAGGGTGGTCTGTGGTCACAGAGATTTTCAGAAGGTGAAAACAATTTAGGTAAGGGCTGTGTGTGCATGTGTGTATGTGTGTGTGTGTGTGTGTGTGTGTGTGTGTGTGTGTACACATGTGTGTGTGTGCATGTGTGTGTGTGTGTGTGTGTGTGTGTGTATGTGTTGAGGGGTCCAGTTCGGTGTGTTTCAGAAATTGAAAGAAGTTAGTGAAACTTGAGCAAGGAGAAAAAAAGGAGAGTAGAATATGACGAGGCTAGAGAGTTAGAAAAAGGTCACATAGTCCCTTATGTTTGATAAAATTGTTTATTCTAAGAATAATTCTAAAATCACTGAAGTATTTTAAGCAAGGATGACGTGAAAAGTTATGAGATAGATGGGATATGTGCATATTAATTCATACAATATTCTACCCTACACATAATTTTCTTGTTATACCTAACTATATTAAGTAAGAGAAGGCTTATTAGATACTGGGATAGTTATTGTACTATAATTCTTTGTTAATAAAGAAAAACTTCCACAGGAAATTTTGGACAAGATCCAACAAGAGTTGAGATCTTGAGAATTAAGGCACCCATGTAAGGCTGTCACTACTTTTTCCTTCAACTTGAGAAGTACATACAGGCAGCCCTCCTTGGAATCTACGTCCGCACATTCAACCAACTGTGAACTGAAATTTTTTGAAACAAGAGTTGGATCTAGTATTTAGATACCCCAGTAAAGACTGGAAAATGTTCTCATGTTAAAGAAGTCTTTTCAACAATCTTTAATTTATTCTCCCTTTTTCCCTGCATAGGAAACAGAGAGGCTGAGGATAAATCATAAATGGCTTCTTAGTCTCTTACGTTCAAGGTGAAGTCAACAGATCTATAAATGCTTTGGTGCATCCAGTCCTAATAGATACATATGAGTATATCTGAATTTACAAAATAATACCATTTAACTGAATCTTTTTACCAATTATCATGACATTAAATTTATTTAGCTGTAAACAGTCAGTGACATTTAAATAAGTTTTTCTTTGGACTTAAAAGGGATATGCTTAAGAAGAAAAGGCAGAGAATAATATTTTCTTTTATGTTTTATTTTGAAGATGTGGAATACAATTCACGGTATAATAAGGTACCCCTATAAGGCTGTTACTACTTTTTCCTTAAACTTGAGGAGTACATACGGGCAGCCCTCCTTGGAATCTATGTCCACAGATTCGTCCAACTGTGAATTGAAGTTTTTTGAAATAACAATACAACCATCAAAATAATATAGTACAACCACAGTTTAATAACATCTACATTGTATTAGGCAGTATAAGTCATTTAGAGATGATATACAGTCTATGGAAGGATGTGCACAGATTATGTGCAAAAACTAGACCTTGAACATAAGGGACTTAAACATTCTCAGATTTTTTTGAATGTGTGTAGTATATATATATATATATATATATATATATATATATATATATATATATA